CGTTGGGTTTGGTTGAAGTGACTCGCGATGAGGTGTGCTGTTGTCGAGTTGTTCTTCCGGTGAGTAATGTGGTGGAGACTCGGTGATGCAGGAATCGGTCAGTCGTGTCATGCAACTGACAATGTTTCTTGTTTCTTGCGCAGGTTGTCCCGTCGATGTCGTTGAGATCGAGCTTGCTTGCGTTGAGGTAACTTGACTGCTTGAAGGCCGAAGCTGCCGCTGCGTCGGTGCTGATTGTTGTCGGTTAGGTCAGTGTGAGCGAGGATGCCCTGACATCTTGCAAAGGTGACAAAACGGAGGTACTGATTTCGGTTGATGCCGATTGTTGTTGTTGTAGCGTCGTTGAGTGTGGAATGCAAATTCGGGCACTGATGCCTTCTTCCTGTGTCGTTCCTCTTGCAGGTCCATGTCTTGCTACTCAGCATGGATTTCGGCGCAGAGTGCTGCTTCTGATATCTTTCCATGTGCTCGAAGTATGGCGCGGGTGGAGCGCCACTGAGGACCAAGGCCGTCGATTATGACTGTGACGAAGGCGTCTTCTGAAATCGACCCTCCGCATCGAAGGAGTTTGTCGCGCAATTCGCGACAACGGCTGATATACGCCATCCCCTTTTCGCCTGGTTTCATCTCGACTGTTGTCAGTTGCGCCATTAGCCGACTTTGATTTACGCTGTCTGTTGCTTGATACAGGTTCTTCAAGTGGTTGTACGCGAGCTCTGCAGAGTTGCCGTAACCCCGGTAAGACCGTATGTTCTGCTGCTGACTTGGAGTGATATTTCTCAGCAGGATTGTGTACGCCATCATTGACTGATACGTGTATTGCTGCTTGTCGTACTGTGTGCCGTGTGTTGGATATGGCAGGGACCCATCGAAGAAGCCAAGGATCTGCGCGCCTTCCATCATTAACTCGAACTCGAATGACCAGGTAAAGAAATCCTTTCCGTCGAAAGGTCTTGTCGTCTGTAGTTTTAAGACGTGCGCGAACTGCGACTGCACTTGAAGTGCGTCCAGTGTCTTTTCTTGTCCGGATGCAGGCTGCGGGTGTGGCATAAAGCTGACGGAGCCACGCTGGGGCTCATACGGGGCAAAGGTAGGCCGTTGCTGTTGGTTTCCACGTGCGTAGGATGAACCGTCGAGGCTCATCGGTGTTGCGTTGTTGTTGCTGTTGTTTGACTGTGCAGGTGCCCCTTGCTGGTGCTGTTCGTAGAAGGACATGAAGGAGAAGAACTTCTCCATCATGTCTGGATCAAAGGCCGCAGCTTGATTTGCGGGAGTTTCCGAAGACGATGCCCTTGGTCTTGTTGCTGTACCCTCCTCTGTCTGTAGGCCAAAGGCAGGAGGTGGAGTAGGAGTAGTGCCAGGAGAGCCGTTAGAGGAGCTTCTCTCCTTCTATGTTGCCATTTCTTGCGATGTTGTAGATTTCTTGTTTGTAGTCGAATTTGCCCTGACTGCTCTCATACCATGTTGGGCTGAGAAAGCCCTTAGGATCTTTGCAGGGCAGAACTCAAGGGTAGGATGATGTAATAGCGGAAGCGTTTAATAAAGGATTGTGAACCACCTTGCGCTTGTATGTGAGGGCAAAGTAAGTTGATAATAATAAAAGAGATACAAGCTTTTATAAGAATACAAAGGAATATGAAGAGATACAGTTAACTGTTTTACTGTTGCTGTTGCGGTTCGATACAGTGTCGACTCGGGCAACTGCTCAGTATCGAGACAGTTGTTTGTCCTTGCTGTCGCGCTGCATTTGTCAGGTCAAAGATCGCTGACCTTTTACTTTTGCTTAACCTCCAACAGTTATTCAACCTCCGAGGGTTGACTCACCGATATTTCGATACAAGCTGCTTCGCTTCTGTCTTGGTGTTTCGACACGACAGAGGCGCCTAAATCAGTTGTTTCCAACAATAAATCGATCTCAGCCGAAGAAACCGCTCGCCTGTTCATCGCAGCCGTCGTTCGAATGCACGGGATACCAGCCGCGATAATCAGCGACCGCGACACGAAGTTTACCAGCAACTTCTGGAAGAACCTCTGGGAGTAGTTCGGGACCAGGCTACAGTTCAGTTCATCGTACCACCCCGAGACCGACGGTCAAACGAAGCGGACCAATCAGACGATGGAGCAGTTGATTCGGGCCACGTGCGACGACCCGACAACCTGGGAGCAGCAGCTGCCGCTGATCGAGTTTGCCTACAACAACGCCACGTCAGCGACGACGCAACAGTCCCCGTTTTACATGAACTACGAGCAAAACCCAACAGTGCCCATGACGCCAAGTCTACCCGTCGTACCAAAAATACGACCACGCTACTGTGGACCATTTCAAATCAGCCATTCCTTACTGTAAGGATTTTTCTCGCTATTCCTTACCGCAACCGTCCACATCGCGTACAGCAGCAACCGTTGTTCGCTCGATACTGCTAACGGGGCATCGCCAACTTCGCGCGCACTGTTTCACCAAACCTCGCACTACTGGAGCAGCCGAGTCGACCTACGCTTCGGGACTAGCCCGAACCTCGCCCCAGCGTAGCACTAGCTGGCTCGCACGCACCGTGTTACCGTTTGCACATTTTCGCGTATAAGTATTCGCTCATGCCTTCGCACATATTTTGTACTCATTGAACACTCTAGTGCAATCCTGTCTACCTCGATTCATTGCACCCGTAACACAAACTGTGTAACGACAGCTGCCATTCCGTTACTGATATTACCGTTTCTGTAATGTCACATTGCGGAAATCGCGTTACGCTTCTGATCTCAGATCGGCGCGCAGTCTCAACGGATTCTCCGACGTGGAATCTGCTCTCGTATTCGTGTCTTCACGTAAGCTATTGGTGGAACCTACACCACTTCTCATTACATGGCCGTTGCTCGTCACAAAACCACGTTCCAACCGTGCCAGCGATGCATGTCGATTGGTTCAATCCATGTCACGAACCGCATTCTCTGCTCCTCTTCGATGAGCAACGCCAGTACTGCAACAAAACCTCCTCCTCTTCGTTTAAATTTGTCAAGCAGATCCCACCTGTCTCGGTAACCTCGGAGATGGTTTCCATCATATTTTTGGCGGCACAGATTGGAGATTCCCTGGGGCTCTCCGCATATAAATATCAAGTCACAGATTTGCGTTCTCCAGTTCGCGCATCTGCCTATCTTCTCCGGGTACAGCATTTTCTTTTATATTCTCCCCGCCTCGTTCTCTAGCCATGGCTGACAAGGAGTGCACCTGCGGTACTGGATGCTCCTGCGCTACCGGCGGAGCCTCGTGCGGATGCGGAGCCGGATGCAAGGCCGGGCCTAGCTGTTCCTGCAAGGTAGGTCAACTAGCTGCACCCTCTCCGCTTCCACGCCCTGGCGGTTGTTTTACTGTGCAGCTTACGCCTTGACTGGTCGTTCATGGTTTACACCTCGCCATGCCGCTAGTTCGTAACACGTGAGAAGCTAATATTCAACAGCGTTTGTAACTGTCATCCACCTTACAGGGCGGTGCTTCTTGCGCGTGCGGCGAGACTTGCGCGTGTGACTCATGCTCCTGCGGGGAAGGGTGCTCATGCAAGACCCGCGCTTGCGCATCTGGCGGCGCCTGCACTTGCGGCGACGGGTGCGGCTGCGGCGCAGGATGTAGCTGCAAGAAGTCCTAAAGAGTCCGTATGAGGTCTGAAGAGTTTATTTTTCACCGGAAAGGATTTTGTTGCTACGTGTAGATACGTCATCCACGTGGGCTCGTTTGTTAAGTTCAATCCACAGAAATTGAATCTTTGGGCCTTTTTGTGGAAAATATAGTTTACACAATTGAAAACACAATTGAAGGCTCAACAGAGACCCTGCTCCTCATTCCATCATGTGTTGACTGCTAGGATAAGAATCTGAGGTACTGGTTTACCAAATGTGGTTCCCTAACTCCTCTTAGCCTTAAACAATGAGGTCACAGATAGCCATTTTTACTTGCAAACATGCAAGCAGAAGGACGTTTCTGAATCCTTCACCTACAAGCTTAGTACTCAGGAACTATTCTCTGTATAATGTTGTACAAAAACTCGCTCCAGGCGTCCTCAGGGCCTGGCGAGCAGTAATGCAAGCAGTCTGTCTTCTGCTCCGTGATCCTTCCCCTGTGCCCATCCGGCCGGAGTGCAGTCATAGGCTCAATATCCATAAACAGGGCTCCCATTTCCTCCACCACCCCTCTCAGCAACTCATTCTGACGCTTGAAATTCCCCCAACTAAACGGGAGTGAATCCGGGTCCTGCCGCTGCTTGATTGGTCCAGTGGCATTCGTGCAGTCCGTGTGCCCTGGGGCGGTTGACCTAAATACCACCAGTTTTTCCGGGTAATTCTGCCGGACGAACTGTAATGTGCGTCGCACGGCGGTTATCAGCCGCTCGTCAGTCGTGGCATGAGCACCTCTGTTGATCACCAACACATGGGAATCCACTATCCCAGGGTCATCAAGCCATGGCATGTTTTTCCACCACAGCCGCTCGTCCTTCTCTGAATCCACTGGCATGAGCCTTTTATTGAATACAAAGTGTAACTCCAGCCCAGAGCACCCAAGCCCAGTAAACCGCTCGTGGCAGTACCCAGTGTGAGTCCCGAGCCAGGGCATGCATTTCCGAAAAGTAACGGCTTTTGAGGCTGGTTTCGGCACGTGCTGAAGTATGTTGTTTAGGAAGGAGGTGTGTGCCTCCTTGGAGAGGGAGTCACCTAGGAAGGCGATGCGCAGGCCGTCGTCTCGCAAGCGAGCCAGCTGACATAGAGACCGCCCGTCAAAGCGTGAAAACAAGCCCTCATCAGTACCACCAGCAGCGGCAGCACCAGCAGCAGTGGCAGCACTACCAGCAGCGGCAGCAGCAGCAGCAGCAGTAGCAGAATCACCAGCAGCAGTGTTGTCATAATCCATACCACCGGCCCCACCTCCCGCCTCTCTCTCACTCTCCGGCCCAAACAATGACCCAAACGCCCCAGCAGCAACAGCAGGGCAACGCCCCCTCGGCACCACCCATTCATACTTTAACTCCTCCCTCACTCGCCACCGCTTCTCCGCGTCCCGCCCGCCCTGCCTCGCAATCTCGTCCGCTTCTGCATATGCCACCCCCCCTTTGACCTGGTCAACGTGTCTCATATCGCAGTGGTCAACGGATTTCCAGTTCCAAGGGAGCACGCGGGGGGTGGGGTTGTAACGCCACTCGCCCCGCGTTGCCACACAGGATAGCCATTGCCGGAATGATTGCACGGCGCCGGTACGTGGTGGGAGCCTTGAACCTGGGATGGCATCTTGGAAATCTGGGAGGATGTTTGATGCCCGTTGGGTGGTGGTGGGAGCAGCAGCGGCAGCAGCAGTGGCAGTTGCAGCAGCAGGAGGGCTGGCAGGTGGGAAGGCGGGGTGATGTGGGACGTTGGCGAGATCGTTCCATCTGAGCCATCCGCTGCGTACAGCTGTCATGACAATGCTGTACACCTCGCTGACGTGGCACTGCTCCCCGAGCTCCCGCTTGATCCGGCCCGGGTCGCAAGCAGACAAAAAGTGCCGCACGCCCGCCCGCTCCGCCAGGCGGTAGTGCCACGTGGCGGAGTCCTGTTGGCTGACGACCGACGCTTGGATACCGAAGGGCAGAGATGCTGACGAGGAGGAGGAGGAAAGGGAGGGGGAAGAAGAGGAGGAGGAAGAGGAGATGTTGGCAGTGGGGAGGAAAGGGTAAGTGGCAGTGGTGGTCTGTGGAGCGGAGTAGGGGAGAATCTCAATCACCGTCGCATTGAACGGCAGGAAGATGAGATTCGAGAGCGCAGGCGAGGTGGGGCCCACAAGCAGGAGCGCGCGGGAGAAGAGCGTGCGTGCTTCTGTGAGAGGCACATGCTCATCGTACACAACCACCCGGGATTTTGAGAAGATGTGCTGTAGGAACTTGATTATTGACTGCATTCCCTCTGCTGTTGCTGCTGCTGCTCCCTCCGCTCCCTTGCTCCCCTTTCCGGTTCCCTGTCCTCCCTCCCCTTGTGCTTCTGCTGCTCCCTCTGCTCCCTCTCCGTCACTCCCCAGCCCACCCCCCGCCCCTCCCCCCTCTCTCATAACGTGAGAGCTCCATACTAACGAGACCACCACCACCCAGTCTCTAGGCACGGACTGCCCTCCTAGGACTACGTTGTGACTATAAGGGGCGGGCTGGTTGGGGGTCCAATCGGGGTTGAGGATGGGCAGACCGCCACGTGGCAGCAGGTGGTTGGCCCGCAGCGCGAGCCAGAGCGCGTCAGGGCAGGATGGCCGGCCGGCGGCAGAGAGGCCGCAGAGACTGCTGACGTGGATGGGCTGGTGGTGGGGAGGAGCAGGAGCGTTGGGAAGGGGGGGGGGAATATATTTGAGTTGATGTGTGGTTACAAGGAGATTCGAGAAAGCAGATCCTCTGACAAGACAAAGAAACATGAAACTGTTCAGAAATTCTCACTGGAATTATGTCAGAGGATTTGAGTTGATGTGTGGTTACAAGGAGATTCGAGAAAGCAGAGAGGCCGCAGAGACTGCTGACGTGGATGGGCTGGTGGGTGGGAGAGCAGGGGTTTGGGCCAAGGGCGATGGTTGATGAGAGCAGCAGAGGAGAGCAGCAGAGGAGGAGAGCAGCAGAGGAGGAGAGCAGCAGAGGATGACAAGCAGAGAAGCAGAATAGGAAGCGAGCACTCACCACGTAGAGCTGCTTGGCGAAGAACAAATGATCGCGGCTGTCCCCGAGCAAAGGAGACTCGGGCGAGATGGCGAGGGACGAGAGGTCCGTACCGAACACCCCCAGGCCCAGGTGGAACAGCACGTGGCGGTCGGCGAGCAGCAGAGGGAAGCGGCGGGCGGCGGGCATGAGGGCGGAGGAGAGGAGGAATAGTACGGGCAGCAGCCGCGCTACCAGCCGCTCCTTGCTGTTGTGCAGTTTTGCTTGTGCCACCCACTCCCGCCCCTCGGGATTGCCGCCGTTTGGGCTGGAGTTACTCCCTCCTGTTTGCTCATCCTCTTCCTCCTCTTCGTGGCCTTCGTACGGCAGGAGATTTATCAGGTGGGGGTGAACAGTGACTCTGGTTCCAGGTGGGTAGGAAGGAACTTTCACCTGCCGCTGCTGCGGTTGTTGCTGCTTCCATTGGCCGGATCCGCACCTATCAACGACGAACACGTGGCTTTTGTTAAACACCAGGCCCTGCGCGTTGACGTATACGTCACGCAGCACGAGCATGCCACCTCCGCTGCCGTCCACGTCAGCAGCGGCCGCACCTTCCGCCGCGACCCGCGGGGAAGCCGCCTGAGCAGCGCGGAGCGCGCTCAAGTCGCACGTTTCCTCCGCAATTCCCGCGTAGAACCACGCGCGCTGCCGCATGCACTCCCTTTCCGCCGCCTCTCCTCCCTCCTGCTTCCACCGCAACCATTCGGCCATAAATTGCGCCGCTTTTCCTGGACCACCAAGCGCAGCCGAACCTGATTCTGAGCCTGGTTCCGAGCCTAAGCGTCCCAGTCCAGCGGCCGTAGCTGAGTACGAGGGTGGGACCGGGTCGCCCCATTGACAAGCGGAGACGACGGCGGGGGATGCACCCGCGAGAGGCGGCGCAAATTCCGGACAGAGAGGCAGTCGCGGCTTGGATTTCGATTGGCCCGCGGGTCCTATTCTCTTCGAGAAATAGTCGATCAGGCCAACTTGAGTTAGAGACTTTCCTAGAATACCCTCCTTAAGCGTGCTTCCACCCTGTGTCCTCTCTCTACTGCCCGGATTCCCCGCCGCAGTGTCCGCTGCTTCCCGACGGCCTTGAGCGGCGGCCTGTAGGATTGCTGCTGGCGGCTTGGATGCCGTCACGGCGGCGGGTCTAACGCCGCCGTCAATCACGGCCTGATGTTGCGACTGCGCCGCCGCTACCGGCCGCTCCAATTGAATTTTGCCACGTCGACCGTCAGCGCCTGCTTGAAGTCGCCGACGTGGCAGTACGAGGCTGTGCGGGTGGAGGGCCTGTGCCAGTGGTTGTGACGCGGTCCGACGCGAGTCGGCATCGGCGCCATTGTCATGCGTACTGCAGACTACTAGTAGGTGCGAGGGAGCTAGCAAGGAGATAAGAACGAGGGATGTGAGGAGGTACCGCGTTAGATCGAAGCTTGTGAGAGACATTCTTGAGGTTGTGGTCGGACACGTTATTAGTGGGCCAAGGCTTGAATCTCGCGCGCGGATTCGGGCATTTGAGAGGAGTAGTAGAAATGCAGACAGTGGGGTGAGATGGATTTTCCGTCGAAGCTTATTAGACGTGAAAGTAATGCTTCTGGTAGCCGAGGTCTACTTGAAGCCTTCTACACCAGATTGTTATTCCAACGCGAGAATGCAGAAGTAGTATACTGTACGATCAGCTAGCCTCCTATCCTACGTTCGGCGAGTTGGCCGCGTGCGAACGACACGTTACCTACGCTCATGGGATGACGCAGTCTATGTACTGGACTTGATTTGTTAGGACCGAGACCAGGAAAATTGGAGGGAGTGAGGGAAGGAGTCAGGCAAAACTAGGGATGTGACTTTTTCAGGTAGGTGATGCGAGTTGTAGGAGGCAAGCATTTACAGAGGCGATTCGAGGGGTGGAGGTTCTGCGCCTGCTGCGAGGCACGTTAGCGACGAGGTTTGTGTAGGGTAACTCCAAGGTGGAACTCCTTATTGGTGTAGCGCGAACCGCATTTTGATGACTTAGATAGTAATTGGGCGCGACGAAAATTTCCAGGCTGGCGAATCTGAAGGATGCATGGAGTGGTGTAACACAGGGGGAGAGAATTGGTGGCATTAGGGGTCTCAGGTTGTGTGTTTCACTGGCGAGTGGCTGCCATACTCCACCAGTCAAGCTGTGTCAGGTGATCCTGAAAGCATGTTAGAGCCCGGTGATTGTTTCCTGGTAATCATTTAAATAAACGAATTGAAAGGTGTAAGAGGGCTGAATCTTCCGTGGTACAAGAACTTCACAAACGAGGATGAGATTCTCACATTTTCCAGCCATAAACACCTTCACCGCACCAGCGTGGCAGGTTTCTCTATCAAAAGGAGCTCCACCTGGCAGCGTGACCTGGATCCGTCACCATTTCAGCCCTTGAATGCCGTTGACCTCCCAGAAACTGCCACATGAAGGATCTAGCATATTCGTTAGCGTCACAGGCACACTTCGCACCAAACACTTCCCAGGGTGGGGTGGCTGAGCATCGACTGTACTGTACCACGAAAGTACAGCAAGTTCATATTTTCAGCCCATCAACCATGTTACCCACGCCCAAGCCATATTTGAATGATCACGGCACATTCATATCCTGCTTTCCGAAAGCAGGCTTCAGAGTTTACATCGAATCTGGTCGTCTGACACTCGCCAGCTCCTCAGGCGTGTCTTGTCTGCCTGCTCCCCGCCTTCCGCACCTTACCCTTCAAATAACACCGCCTCCAGGTCAGTTGGCGATCCTCCTTTGACTGGCTCTTTCGAGAAAGGTCGTCCTCGCGTCGGACTTCGTGTACTATTCTCGTCGGGTCGCCCAATTCTAATCTCGTCGTCGCTCCCAATGGCTGTTTCCAGAATGGCAGCTCTTTCCCTCGCGACCTGCTCGCGAGTCGCCTCACGGGCCGCCATGTCGGCGCTCAGGGCGCCGGCTCCCGCGCTGGGGTCCCTGCAGACGGCGGCCATTGCGCCGCTAAAGGCGGCGGGATTCAGCGCCCACCAGATGGTGCAGCGTCCCACCTGGTCCCTCACCAGGTACTGCCTTTCTCATTCCTCGCGAGGTACTTACGTTAGCATCCCTACTCAAGGTTGGCTGCTAAAAAAATGCATGTCTCAGGAGGCACTGCAGTGATCGGCCTTCACGATGTGCTATTGGTTGCTTACTGTCAGTGATTTACTGCTCTAATCGCTAACGAGGTAGCAATGGTTGGTACTGCCTCAATTCTGGCTCACATTGAAACACTCATTCTGTCTAACTTCAAAAGGCCGGAAAATAGTTCAGAGAATGAATATTTAAGATGTCTCAAAGCTTCCTGTTTGGTCCCTCGTGTCGCGTAATGTCTAGCGTTCGCTGCGATGCGATCTCCTTCGCGGTCGCTAGTCTTCCATCGCTGCCACGCGGCGCGCGTTGAGCCGGCATGGCATGAGCTGTTCAACAATTAGAATCCCTTGGGAATTGGATTCTTATTTCATCGTGTTCACCCCACCTGATCTCTTGAACCCTTTTTCTGCCCTCCCTTACACCAATTCCCCTCTCGTCCACCCCCTTTTCCCCCCTCCCCCCCTCATTCTCTTTGCCCCACCCCCGTTCCCCCACCACCCTCCCCCCTCTCCTTCCTTCCCCCCTCCGCACGGCGCAGGTCGTTCCACCGCAGCCCCGTGGTGTGCGCGGAGCTCACCCGATCGCTCAGCCGATCGCCGTCCGGCGAGTTCGAGACGCTCGAGTACCGCCTCTTCTTCCAAAACGACAATGGCGAAACCGTGAGTATGATTTTGGGAATCACGTCGCACTGTATTGCGAACACGCTGTCTCGTGCTGTGATGCCAAACGCATTGATTCAAGCACCGCCTCTCCTTCCGTAACGACCAGTGAGTACTTTTCATAGTCATCGTACGGGCCTTGAGTGACTTGAAAGGGGTTCGCTAATATTTCTCCCCACCCACTCCCCCTCCCCCCCCTCCCTCCACAGCTCTCTCCGTGACATGACATCCCCCTGCGCGCAGGTGACGGTCTCTTCAGCTTCATATGCGAGATCCCCAAGGACACGAGCGCCAAGATGGAGGTCGCCACTGACCAGACCAGACCAGGGCCTCTCCAACGACTGATGCTGACTCCCCACCCTCTCCACTGCCCCCCCCCCTTCTCCCCACAGCTCTCTCCGTGGCACGACATCCTCTGAGGGCGGGCGACGGGCTCTTCAACTTCATCTGCGCCAAGATGGAGGTCGCCACTGACCCGGGCCTCTATCCATTGCTTGATGCTCACTCCCCACCCTTTCCACTCGTCCCCCCGCCCTACCCCTTCTCCCTGCAGCTCTCCCCGTGGCACGATATCCCCCTGCGCGCCGGTGATGGTCTCTTCAACTTCATATGCGAGATCCCCAAGGACACGAACGCCAAGATGGAGGTCGCCACTGACGAGCCCGGCACGCCCATCAAGCAGGACGTCAAGAAGGGCAAAGTCCGATACTACCCGTGAGTTGATAGGGGAATTTTGGCTGTTAGTGCCTTTGCTTTGAGGTCGCTATGAACGATCCCGGCACTCCCAGGAAGGGGAGAATCCGATACAACCTGTGAGTCGTGAGGGGAAGTTTGGTACTTTTTATGTCTCTGTTTTGAGGTGGCCAAAACCGTGCCTGGCACGCCCATCAGCAGGACACCGAGAATTTTCCTGAATAAGCTTTGCAAACCTGAAGAACAGGGTTTGCAGACGTTGCAAGTAAAGCAAGCATAGTTCTGGCCTCAGTGACTAGACAACATCCACTGAAATCACGGCATTCTGCCTTTTTGAGACGTCTCAAAAACAACCTCGCTACACGTGGCCATACACGTGGGATGGGAACAAGTGCTTCGAGTCGACTCAAAAGTCGATTGTACCTTTCTTCTCTCCCCCTTCCTTCTCCCCTGCAACTGCAGGTACAACATCCACTGGAATTACGCCATCCTGCCACAAACGTGGGAGGAGCGATATGAGTTGAGTCTACCCTAATCCATTAACATAGCTAATTCATACTAAGCCCTCCCTCCCCCCCCCTGCAGCTACAACATCCACTGGAACTACGGCATGCTGCCCCAGACGTGGGAGGACCCTTCACACGCCAACCCCGAGGTTGACAACACCATGGGCGACAATGACCCCGGTCAGTCTTTATATACATGTATAAATATATAGGCATAAATATATTTACAGAAATACATATGGCTACTTGCGTGTATACTGTACCACCTTACCCGGCAATCTTGCCCCACCAAGCTCAATGCTGGTGGTGGCAACACCATGGCCTTTAGTCTATGAGCCTGGCATTGAAGCCATTGGCAGTGCTGGCGCTGATTTCTGAATCTTATCAACCTCCCTCCTTCCACTCCCGCCCTTCCCTCCGTCTTTCTGTCTCACTGCCTGCCCGCCCGCCCGCCCGCCCGCCCACCTGCCTGCCTGCCTGTCTGCCTGTGTGTGTGCGTGTTTAAACGTGTACACACCAGTTGATGTGGTGGAGATTGGGGAGAAGCAGGCAGCGCTGGGCGAGGTGTATGCAGTGAAGCCGCTGGCAGTGCTGGCCATGATCGACGATGGCGAGCTCGACTGGAAGGTCATCTGCATCCGTGCTGATGATCCCAAGGCGGACCTCGTGAATGATGTGGAGGACGTGGAGAAGGAGTTCCCTGTGAGTGCCCCTCTGAGTGCCCTTCTGAGTGCCGTCTCTGTGCCTGCTCC